TTGATGTATTTCACATTAATGGATTTCTCTTTGAGCTAGCATAAAAAGCAGGCCACAAGCAGAGAGGCACTACTTTTGAATTTCATGGATGTACAAATGCTAATTTGCATGAATTAATATTTTTTCCATATTTTTACAAATATTAATTTGTATTTATTAATTATTTTTAGATAATTAAAATTAAAATGTTCTCACTTAAAGAATTACATATATTTAATCCAAATCACGGCAAACAAATAAGCGTGGCCTCATGATTATGCGTTTTGTTTTTCTTATTGAATGCTACACACTATTTGCTGTGACAGAGTACAGAATACAGAAAATCACAATGCAATTTTCAAAAAAAAAACTGCAGTATATATTGTTAAATATACATTTAAAATACGCGATTGAAGCGTAATCCTCTAAATCATTTGATGCGGTTTTCGGGTAGTACTGAAGGTTATCCTCCAATCCTTGTATATTTTGAGGGATAAGGTGTAGTTCACGTTGCATTTTGACGCCTATAAGCTCGTAAAAAGCGATTTCTTTCAAAAAATCCATACGCATTTAACGCGCATCCATCAAGAATCATTGTAGTAACTCACTCTACATTTGGGATAAATTGGGAACAGCTCTCTTTCATCCGGAACGTAAGAAGAAATTATTCAGATTTGCGGGTACAATCATATAATCCTCAATTTGTAGTCTTCTATTTTTCCTTTGGCACGAAGGCCTTGAAATGATTTTTATTTATATACGTTACATCGAAAGTTTTAGCCACACATTTCAACATAATTCGTTGCAGTATAGAATTTAATATATCACTAGGGTTTGTAAACTATTGAGTAACTAGTTTGCAGTAAGCGCCATGAGCGAAAATTCGCTTTGTTAAAATTGTAAAGAAGGCATAACCACCTTGGTGGAGCATAACTTAACGGACATCGAATAACATTAATATATTATCGTTGTGTAATGTAAAAGAATGTCTAAAACAGATCGTTTTCAATACCTTACAGTACAGTATATGTGAAATTACAAAAATCTTTTAAATTCCTTGAAACTGAGGTTTGCAAGGTTATAACTCGCGAAATATGAACATATTGCATATAATTTAAATTCATTTCTATAAAATGAAGTATTCTTGTCTAAATCTTAAAATATTGGTAATAAATAATATGTTGGGTGGAAGCTGTGATGGTGGTAATGTAAAAAATGGGGGAAAATATGTTGAAGCCAACGAGTTTTTTTGTGTTCGTTCCTGATTTGTGGCTAAACTACACAACGCACGCACATGTGATCAGTGACTATGTTGCAGAATACCCCATGGACAATATGATTCTAATGTATGATTTTTCGATAAAATCACTGCATCCACCCAAAAAAGATGCTGACATTTTGAAGCCGGATTTTCGGTGTTTTTTGAATTTTTCTTATAATTAAGATGCGCACTCAGATAATGGACCAAACTAATTATAGGATTGTAGAACTCGTGATTTTGCTTCGTTTAGTGTATATCTCTTCGTTTAGTGTACATCATTGGGTTCCAAAGACGAAACATATTTTTTGAGTCCGAAATTAAGAAAGTCCATACAAATTCCGTGGAACCCCGTGTGATTTTAGTTTTTTACGTGCCGGATCTAAAGAGCCTATCCATGTGGGAAAAACTGCAAAAACTTATTCTGACAAATTCGCGTATATATCGCGTTTTTCTTCGAATTGATTTCACATACATTCATTCCTGTGATATCACGTTCGCGAATCTGTGTGGAAATAGGCCAAAAAATATCGATACGCGAATAATATGCGTATTTTATCCAAAATTGGTTGTGGAGAGGCACATCCGCGGTTCTTAACCGATCCTTTTAAAATAGGGGTCCTTTTGTGTATTTTCATAGGAGATTACTGAAATCGGATGAGCATAAAAATCGTATGCACGTTGCGTGATTTTTAGCCATTTTTTTGGGTTTTTGCATAGTAAAGTGCATCGAGCGGCACACTTTGACCGCTAAATTAAACATCGAAAAATTCATAATTATTGAAAGACATTGAAAACACATGCGCATCAACTGATTTCAACTAATACGCGAATTCCATGCTTTTAAGTATTGATAATTTTTATGTATTGTAACTGCAATATATTTAGTAATTTTTACAGTCGAAACTGTCATCAGATGAATATACCGATATTTAACAATCATCTAAAAGAACTTGAAGAAAAAAGCGTCGAATATTTTAGAAGATTAAGGCAAAACTGTATTCCCTTAACCATACTAAAAAATCGAAAATTCAAAAAACATTTCGATTTAATTAAAAAATTAATTTATTTTATTTTCAGATATCTTCATGCTTCCATTTGTTTTTCGCGACAATTTAACCGTATTTCAATATGATTTGACAAGTATGCAAAGAAAACAAATGTGTTTAACCATTTGTGAAGAAATTCGCGAATTTCAAAAATATAGGAATTAATTTAATTTATATTTGAAATACAAGATTTAAAATCGCTATTATTTTGTGCGCAGCAAAAAAAAATTCACATTTTTTTATGGAATTTTAAAAGAATTTTGTAATTTCCCATATACAATTTGATTTTTAAGATTTGTTTTTCTTGAGTTATAAGCGCTGCAAAAAATGATACGTCAAACATTGTTTGCCCACTAAAATGATAGTGGCTATAATTTTAGTAATAATCGACATCATCATAGTAATATACACCTAGATTTATTGAGTAATCGTAGATCTAAAATGTCTATTATTTGCCTTGGTTTGTGGATATATAGCTTGTCCTGATTTTCTTCGGTTAATTGGACTCAAAGTTCCGGCAAGATCCCTTAGATTTGTTGAATATTTTAATCTAACAACACATAAAAGCAATTTTGCCCAAAATGAACACATTGTAAGAGTGCTAAAAGAATTCAATTTTATAAATTTAGAAATAAGTTTGGAATTCACTTATACTATAGATAAATTTAAATAATAAATTGTTAGCTGGAAATTTGTCAAATAAAAATGTATCAGTATTTGTAAGTTTTGTGTTAAATTTTATTTTGTAAAAACATGTATGATTTTGTCTCAACATTTACCAGAACACATTGGGTTTCTGATTAGAAATATATGCATGTTTTAGTGGTCCATATATTCTGATATATAGGCCCCTATAATAAGGCTTTTCGTGCTTTCTTATTAAAAATTGTCTTGAGTAGTTTGAATTGTAAAGAGTTTGTCGGTAGCCGCACTTAAGCCCGAGAATTTGACATACGCGTATGGAAATATTGCAGTATAGGCAACGTAGCGCAATATTGACCGGTGATTTATATACTGTTTAATCGACAATAAAATAAACAAAATTAATCGCATTTTGTTTAATTAAAAACTTCAATAAATCATGAATATAAAAAATCAGTTATTCAAAGAATATATACATACATACAGTGAGTGTAATAAGTATTTTGCTTCAATAAAAATTTGACAAAATTCCAATATATACGCCTAAAGCCAGCATACTAAAGATTTAAAATGAATTATGTATGATGGGATATGTTTGTGGACATATTTAGATCTTATTTCTGCAAGAATCACTGCGAAAGACCTATTGGTCTCGAAGATATCGGCCAAAATCTATACCAACCCAAAAATGATTATCACAAAAAAGTATTTTGCTTTTTATTATTATTTTTGAAAAAATCATTATATAACACACGCTTTGTCTTTTTAAAGTTGCCATTGCGGGTAACCACATACTAAAAGCGATTTGGCGAAGATTCCAATAAACCACGGCATTTTTTCGCGAATATTTTCTTACATTTATGTTCAATACATTTTCCAGCAATATTTCATTTAATATATGGTAATTTCTGGTCCTAATCTCAAAATGAGAGTATTAGATATAGTCGTCGCGGCTTCAAAACATACCAAATAACTGTAGAATAATAAAAAGGAGGTTTTGCAAAGTATATCGCGAGGACAGGACCCTAAAAGCTATTAAAACCAAAATCCGACAAACAAATTATTAAAAAAAATATCGCGAAACCCCATTTTTCAGACTTTGAAAACTTTATGGTCCATTAATATTGATCTAGGAACCAATATATGCAATGAAAATAGCATACATTATTCATTTTACATCTTTAGTATGCTGGCTTTAGGCGTATATATTGGAATTTTGTCAAATTTGTATTGAGGCAAAATACTTATTACACTCTTTAACATTTTAGAAAATTCCTCAAAGGATAGATCTATTGGTGGTCTTACTTGCAGAACCCTTAACTGCTTTGGTATGTTATTGGGAACTTGATCCCTCAGGTGTTGAATGAAAAGATTGTCATTTTCTTTTGTTTCTTCGTCTATTTGCATAAATGAATTACTCTACAACATAAATTACCATAAGAACAGGGTGAGAAGGTCATAATTCTACCCCCAGATCTATACAATGGCCTAAGACAATGGAGCTGTTTAAGCTCTTCATTTATAAAATTGGCTTACATGGGATAAAAATCTGTCAACCCAAATTTTCCAATTCACGGATTATTTCATACGACAAAACGCATTCTTCAGAAGAAAGCTAATAAATTCTAGTTCAGTGTTAAGATTCGATTTGAATTGGTACGCCCCCATCTCGACGCTGAACTGAAAATAATTTTAAGTGTCCTTGAAGACATATGAAATAGTTGGAAATAGAAGTTGATCTAGCTTTGTGTATTGATAAGTTACGTTATCATGTCATCTCAAAAGTGAATTTATGCAAGTATAATAGAGTCTCTAGCCACAAATTGCCAAAAAAAATATCTCCCACCACCAGAGTATGAGCTCAATTTTTAATTAATTTATGTATTCTAACAGAAGATTATACCAAAGTGTGTAAACTTAACGCTTTTTAATACTTTGAGTTTCGGACCAAACCTATATTTGTTGCTTTTTAATCGGGATCTTTCAGGATGCCTCTTTTTATGTACCAAGAATAATTTGCATTTATTTACATGATTAAATTTGATATTAATTAAATTATCATATTATTTTAGGTGATTGCGGTACTTTATCAACATCAATATGCGATGACGTCTTTGACTGTATTATGTTCTTTAGTAAATGCTCTAACTACGAGATACGAAAACAATCATTAATAGCTTTAGGTTCATTTTGTGTAATGAATGACAATTACCTGATAAGACCGGAGCTAAAACAATTTTACTGTGATATTCTTAGTTCAGATAAAATAGAAGCAAGTATAAAAATTATATGTATGCGGAACATATGGATCTATCTTACAGAATCTGAAATGAACATGCACAATAGAGAAAAGGAATGTGAGTATTATAATGCAAACGTGTACTATCACAAAAATAATCATACTAGCGGAACTCACGAATGGTTGTAAAAATGCAACCCTTTCTATTTTTCTATTTTTATGAGTATTGTAAACTAACGGAAACGTCTGTTTTTATATTGTAAATGCATGAAAGAAACTGTGATGTTTTGCTGCAAGTTTATATTCACCCAGTTATGTGAAATTAATAAAAAATACTATTTATCATAAAATGATAAACTTAAAAATGATTATAAACGTGCTGCAATACATCACAGTTTCTTTCCATGCATTTCCAATATAAAAACAGATATTTTCGTTAGTTTACAATACTCATAAAAATGGTGCAAAGAGTAGTAAAACGTTTTAAGTGGACGTGGAAGACTGCTGAATATACGCGCAACTCTCACTACGAATATAGTACAAGATGTACTAGATCAACAATGCAAATTTACAAGCATTCGTAAATACCGCTACTGGTTAGACATGGTTGCATATTACAAAATAAGTTTACTAACGAGTACTATGTATTATTTTTTACTATTTTAGGGGAAAAGCAGTCCCAAAATGAAGATCTTAAGGAAATGAATGACGTTTCCTCGGGTATGTCAAGTCGTGTGATTCAGTTGTACCTGCAAGAAATACTTGATTGTTTTCTTAATCGCGATGATACCGTCCGTCTATGGGCAGTAAAAGTTGTTCAAATAGTTTTGCGACAAGGTCTAGTACATCCTGTACGTATGGTTCCATATTTGATTTGTTTGAGCACCGACTGCAAGCTTGAGGTGTGTTTTGATGTTTCTAGAATATTATTTATAATTTAAAAATTAAAAAAAAAATAATTTTTTAGTCCGCACATCGCGCAGATGCTCTACTTAAGGAAATTGATAGATCCTATGCTGGTTTTGTAAATATGAAAGTACAATTTGGTTTACAACTTTGTTTTAAGTTACAAGAAGTATTGCAACACAATAATAAATCGAGAAACTGTGTAATACGAGGATATGTGTAAGTATAAATATATTTGTACATATAATTAATATTTATAGAACAATATATAAAATATAAGGAATTATAATCTAATATATCTGATGAATTTTAAAACACTGTAGTTTTCTTTAAAATACCCGTTAAATATAAATACTGAGATATTTAAAAAAACATTGCAAAAGTTGAGCATTTCCGCGAAATATAAGAAAAATAGTTTACATCATTATTTTATTTATATTAAAGGCGTATATCCACCTACAAATTAATTTAAAATATATCTACATGATGTAAACAGCACGATAATTGATACCAAGATCACACAAAGCTGTGTAGTGGTTTGAAAATTGCAGGGAACTGATGAGGATCAGTTGCGAGATCCCTGGCTTACCCCTCGGCGGACAATCCCCACTAATAAATAGTTGTTTTTTTTTATAAAAACAACAAACTGGGATTCAACCTGACTATTTTGCAAAAACAAAATGCAACAACAAAAGAATATATCGTCATCATAAATGCAAACGGACGTAAATACAGAAAAATTCGAAATTGACCTTTTGTTTGATTATTGTTCGTTTAATCAAACTACATGTTCACACAAAAATTTAGACATCTAACGTCAACAACTGCGATCTAATTAAAGAAATGTAAACGGACGTATCTACAATAGTATATTTTTATTAACGCAAAAAGACGTAACTACTCTCCTGCAAACCACTAAAACTCGCAATATCGAAGATAGAAATTCTGAACATTATTATTGGTTCTTCTGGGATGTTTGGTATTGAAAATGAGATATATTGGCAATTTTTTACGGTAGCCACCGTATAGCGGTACTCCAAAATTCGGTATTTTATGTATATTCTTCATTTTTTTTTTAACTAACCAGCTATAATTATGTGCAAAGTTCTATGCTTTTGGTGCAACATTTACATAAAATCGGTCGAAAATGTATATAGGAGCTATATCGAAATCTGAACCGATTTTCACGAAACTTAGCACGCATCATTATAGACTCAATTCAGTACGCCAAACTTTGTGCAAATTAAAAGAAATATAGGGCCTGTAGTGCACTATTTACACAAAATCGGACGAAAGTATGTGTGGCAGCTATGTCTAAATCTGAACCGATTTTTACGAAACTTAACCCTCATCACTCTGTACTCAATCCAGTACTCTATGCAAAATTTCGTGAAAATCGAAAGAAATATAGTGGTTTAATGCATCATTTACTTAAAATCCGACGAAAATATATGTGGAAGCTACGTCTAAATCTGAACCGATTTCAAGAAAACTTAATACACGTCACTCTAAACTCAATTTGGTACGCTGTAAAAATTTTAGTCTCAATCGGATAATTATTAGTCATTTTGTTGTACTATAATTTTGTTGTAGTTACGTCCTTTTGTTTCAGAAATTATCATGTTGAAAAAACGTAACTGACATAAAACCTTTAACGTAACTGATATAAAACCGGATTGTCTTTCACCATCATACCCCAATATTGGAAACCTGTTCAATGGGCAAATGATTACAGCGAAATATACAAACTACTTGAAGAAACCCATTTTATAAACCCCATTTTAATCGGTGACCTAACTCAAGGATTGGTGAAATAACACAGAATATAAATGAAATTTACCGAGAGTTATTTTCAAGCGTATTGCACACAAGAAAATCTAAAGACAAACACATAAATAGGAAAAGAAACCAACTCATAAAATTATTCACAAACAACAACCTCCTAATTCTCAATGGAAGAACATAAGGAAACGAATAAGGAAACCTAACATTTATAAACACAAACGGCCAATCGGTTAATGATATTTGCGCGGTATTAGGAAAAATTCTAAACTTTGTGGAAGAATTCAAAGTGTTAGACACCACATGGTCAGATCGCCTTCCGATTAAGCTATGTATTAAACTACAAATAGGAAATACTCCGAACAAAAGCTTAAATTTATTACCCAAACTTTGCTTACATAAGAACGATATAGCCAGCTACCAATCAAAACTTCAAAGAAACCTAAATAAATTCCTAGGCAGGAAAATCGATCTTACATTGGAGGATCTTGGGGATACTATAAAAACTTCAATAAAACCAAAAACAAGCAAGATTGACAAATGCCACAGTGTGCGGAAAATATTGTTTTCGCTGCTAAAAACACACCAAAAAACTAATACAGCTGAGTCTAGAAGAGAGTACTGCCTTACAAATTTACAAAGGTATTTGTAAAACTAATAAACAGTAACATAGTATGAAACTATTAGCCACAATAAACCAAGTGAGGGATTTAAAGCAGTGGTGGAAAGCGGCTAGAGAAATTAGAAATCAAAACTTCAAAATCAGCTCAGTCCTATCCTCGTATACTTTTAAACCCTATTGAGTCCTGATTATAATGCGCAGCAGATAAGCTACGCCCCGTTCTTCAATACAGATTCTATATTAGACAGTGAAGTCAGTTTAGGAGAATTGCAACAAATCCTGAAGAAAAAGAAGATGAATAAATCGCCAGGAGAGGATAGAATACAATATGAGCACATTGTCCCCGCCCCAGAAGTCTTCCATAAACAACTAATAAAGCTATACAATGCTATTTTACATACTGGAATCATAGACAACGCCTTTGTTATATTCCCCATCCACAAGAAAGGAGCTATGACCGAGCCATCGAACTATAGAGGAATAACCTTCATGAACTGCATGGCTAAAATGGGTATTCTAAATGAACGACTCTTTAAATGGGTAGAAAGAAACCAAATTCTAACCGAATACCAAGCAGGGTTCAGAAAAGGTTATTCGACTGCAGACAATGTGTACATTTAGCATCAATTGTAAGCGTAAAGCTTCATGAGGGTAAAAAAGTATACGCGTTCTTTGTGGACTTTAAAGCCGCTTTCGACAATGTATTCAGAAAATCTCTAATATGCAAGCTTTCCCGGTGTATCATACAAATTTCTTAAACTTATAGAAAATATATACAACAACACTCAATATGCAGAGAGGACATTAAACGAACTGTCAGCTTATTTCGAAACTAAATCGGATGTAAAGCAAGATTGTCTTTGTCACCTATTCTATTCTCACTCTACATTAACAACATACATGAATATCTACAAGCTGGAATAACCATAGACAATACGAATATACGATTGCTGTTATATGCAGATGACATAGTAATACTGTCGGAAGATATATCGACTCTGCAGTCCATGATATTCAATCTTGAAGAACTGTCGTATTTGGAATCTTACTGTTAACATGTCAAAATCTAAAATTCTGCTATTCCGAAATGGCGGTCGACTTAGTTAAAGTGAGAAATGGTCGTACTGTGGAAGCGATGTAAAAATTACAAATGAATACAAATATCTAGGCGTTACCTTCACAACAAAACTTTCATTCTCAAAACACATTGAAAACAGAACAAGCCAGTCAAAGATGGCTGTAAACTCGACCCGGAAAAACTTCCTGGGAAAAAATGAATTTAATATTCAAATGAAATGGAATGTCTATCAATCTGTATGCAGGGCAATACAATCATATGCGGCTCAAGCCTGGCGATTTTCTTACTTCGACGAGATAGATAAATTGCAGTGTTATTTCCTAAAGAAAATATTGAACGTACCCTGTTTTACTCCAAATTATGCTCTCTCATGCTAGAGACGTCGGTCGAAAGTAGTCATCTATACACACTCAATATACACTTACAGTATCCATATCGTATAATGTACAGATACAACGATCGCCGGCTAAAGTTAAACAATTTGTTGATTCAAAATTATTGTTTCAACTCTTGGTAGCAAACATAAAGAATTTAGCCCGATTGAATGTTCAATGGCCAAATACTGCAAATGAATTTGAATGGAAACTTTTTACTTCAAATATTATTAGCTCCGAAAAGCTGCATATATTTCAGGAAAATTTAAGGTTGAAAGGTGAAAACCAAACTAAAATATAAAAATTTTTAGATTTTTCAAGGGGAGACTTTTATTTTTCTGATTCCTATACTAGCGACCGAATTTAATGGATTCTGAAAACAAGGTGTGGAATGATTAATTTGAATGCGACAAGATTCAACATTGACAGCAGGGGGAAAATGCACCTTATGTAATACAAATCAATATGAACCTTTTTTCTATTTTCTGGAAGAATGTCCAGTTCTGAGAGAATTCAGATTTAGAATTTTCCATGTTGCGATATTGTCTGAGGAAGATATGGTCAACATTTTGGATGGTCGTCAGGCAAATCATTGGAATAAGCTCGTGTCTTATTTGAAAACATCCTAAATTTATATAGGATTACTAATAAGCGAGTTTAATTCGTTATAAAATCATAACTCAAAGAAAGGACAGACGGTTAATAAATATCCATTATCGATCAAAAACTATTTTTTCTTGTTTTACAATATATGTATAAATAATCAAAGATTCAAACTGAATTAAATGAAACATTTTAAATAAAGAATCATTATTATTATATTATTAAACAACATAAAACCTTTAAAAACCAAAAAAGTAAATGTTTTTCAAAAAATAAATACGACTCAGTGCAGTTAAAAAAGTCCAGCCTTATTCCATTTTTATAGATTTTATACGTTTTTTGCTTCTCCTGTAAAATTAGTAAAAGTGTAGTTACGTCCATTTGTATTTATGGTGGCAATTTTGAGAAACACTTTTGGTCGACGAAATAATGTCTTAATACTTATATTCGGTGATTTAATACCAAAAAGTTCAAAAAAAAAAATATTGGAGTATTCATTTATTTTAGCTGAATTTCACCCAAAAACTGACATACAGTCGAAATCGCTTATAACGACGGTCAAGTGACCGTCGAAAATAGTCGCAATAAGCGATATGTCCTTATAAAATATATCAAAATGAAGGGCAGAACGTTTCTAGTCGTTATAACCAATGTGTTATTATAAATTGAATCCTTATAACAACTGTATATGCAATTAATCACTTTTGTGTGCATTGGGTCACGACTATTTGACTATTTTTTACCAAAAACCAAGTTAAAA